TGTTATGGTTTTTCAACCTCTGCCATATTGTGGATTCAGAGCTATCTATCTAATAGAACTCAGAGTTTTCTTTAATGGGAGCTTCTCTAATCTCAAACATGTAAAGTGTGGTGTACTACAGGGCAGCTCTCTAGGCCCTCTACTCTTTTCTATTTTTACCAATGACCTGCCACTGGCATTAAACAAAGCATGTGTGTCAATGTATGCTGATGATTCAACCATATACGCATCAGCAACCCCAGCTAATGAAGTCACTGAAACCCTTAACAAAGAGTTGCAGTCTGTTTTGGAATGGGTGAACATCTCTAAAACTAAGAGCATTGTATTTGGTACAAATCATTCCCTAAGTTCTAGACCTCAGCTGAATCTGGTAATGAATGTGTGGCTGTTGAACAAGTTGAGGAGACTAAATTACTTGGCGTTACCTTCAATTGTAAATTATCATGGTCAAAACATATAGATTCAATGGTTGTAAAGATGGGGAGAGGTCTGTCCGTAATAAAGAGATGCTCTGCTTTTTTGACACCACACTCCAAAAAGCAAGTTCTGCAGGCTCTAGTTTTGTCAAATCTTGATTATTGTTCAGTCGTGTGGTCCAGTTCTGCAAGGAAAGACCTAGTTAAGCTGCAGCTGGCCCAAAACAGTGTGGCACGTCTTGCTCTTCATTGTCATCAGAGGGCTGATATAAATACTTTGCATGCCAGTCTCTCTTGGCTAAGAGTTGAGGAGAGACTGACTTCATCACTTCTTCTTTTTATAAGAAACATTAATGTGTTGAAAATCCCAAATTGTTTGCATATTCAACTTACACACAGCTCTGACACACACACTTACCCCACCAGACATGCCACCAGGGGTCTTTTCACAGTCCCCAAATCCATAACAAATTCAAGAAAGCATACAGTATTATATAGAGCCATTATTGCATGGAACTCCGTTCCATCTCATATTGCTCAAATAAACAGCAAACCTGGTTTAAAAAAACAGATAAAGCAACACCTCTCCCCTATTTGACCTAGATAGTTTGTGTGTATGTATTGATATGTAGGCTACGTGTGCCTTTAAAAAATAGATATTTCTGTCCTTGAGCTGTTCTTGTCTATTCATGTTCTGTATTTTGTCATGTTTCATGTTTTGTGCGGACCCAAGGAAGAGTAGCTGCTGCTTTTGCAACAGCTAATGGGGATCCTAATAAAATACCAAATACCAAAATGGGATCAAATTAGATTTATATTCAAACTTGGTCTGACTAGGCTACCTAGACTTTTTCAATCCAAAATGATTAACTGAAATTAATCAATAAACACTACAGCTGACATGGACTGCGAGTAAAATGTTTTATTAGATCTACAGTTGCATAGGGCCAGACTACACGATGCAAACCTGCATAAAGCAAGCTCAGCCCTGTGAGTTTTATTGTCCAATCATGTTGCTTTCTTTGTGTCTGTGTATAGGAAACCCCCCTAGTCCTTCTTTAAAATATAATTCATATGAACAAGTAGGCTACAATGTTGCTGCAGTTTGACAGGGTTTTCCCCTATTAAACCTCTTTACAACAGATTAATCAAGTCGTATAAGGTCCAGGGTTTTACCTGGTTAGGTTACCAGATCAGGTAAAACTACGGGCCCCAGAATTGTTTTTCCACCACATCACTCTGGGACCTGTGGTGCCACCTCTGCCCATCTCATCCCCATCTACCCCTGGAAGAGCCCCACTCCAGTCTCCATACCTTGGGGACAACTAGATGCCAAGAGAGCTAGGTAACCAGAGAACATGGATGATCACATGTCATGATATGTCTGTTTTCCATTGGGAGAGGAGTACATGATGTGATTTAAATCATTTAGGCAAAATATACATCTTTGAGGGTTCCAAGGGAACTCAGTTTGTAATAGAGATGTGAAGGACAATAATAAAATACTCAACATTATTGATAGTAGTTTTGGTACAGTTCCCTCGTTCATGTTGTATACTACCACTTTTTCCACACAGACTTGTGTGTGTTAATACATTTAATTGCTTAGATTCAGAATGTTGTAGGCATTTAGACTGAGTATTCTATAATCCCTGCAGTAGCCTATTAGTACAAATACCACACCAAATCTATATTCAATCTATAGATTATTTGATAGTCCCTCCGAGTGTTTTTAACCCAATAACAACTTCTAAATCCCAAGACCACTTTCAGGGAATTCTGAACTGGGACTGGGAGAGATAGAAGCTGGAATGGGAGAATTTCTAAGCCATGATGAAAGAGTGCGGCAACATGTAAACATTCCCCAGAGGTCGGCCAAGCCCTGTTACTGCTGTAACCCCTCATTGACCCCTCACAGGGATCATCCCCTGAGCTACTAAAGTAACCTAGGGCATACTACACACACATCTGAGTAGGGAGTTTAGTAAACAAGTTCTTATTGAGCGACAGCTGTCCATTTCATTCCCTTATGAAATTGGATATCATATAATATATGATACAGTATAGAGAAATTTAAATACATAGGCTATCATTTAGTGTTTGTGTGGGATAATGTAAAAATGTGCTGAAAAGCCACTCATGTAGCAATCTGCTACCTCATTTTGTAGTTCAAGTAAACATTATGATCCAGATTTGGATAATCTTGCATGCCCCAATTACCTAATTTAGGTTCTTGTTCAGTAGGATTTTACCAAACTGATTGTTAGTTAATGAAATAACCTCTTTTAGACCCAGAAAAAACTGTTGTTCATGGCTGGTTAATAAAGAACTAGGCTTGTAGAGTGTAAACAGTGAGGAATGTCATAGCATGAGGAGCCTGTTGAGCATAGAACTGAAAGGACAGGGATTGCCTTTCACTTTCTAGTAGGAAATAAAGTGACGGGCCAGTGACACGCTTGCTGTCCACAGGCTGGGTGACGCGGACTGGACTGTGTCTCTTTCTAAATAGTTGAATCGTATCAGCGCTCCTTAATTTCACCTCATTAACAGAGGCTGTCACGAGCTATTGATATGCAAATTTCACAGAGCGGGTGGTAGTGTCAAGACATACTCCGACGGAGTTTACTTGGGACTCAGTGCGCGCCGCTGCCGCCCCTCTGTTTTCACTCTCTGCCTGGATAAACGGAGCCATCGACGTCCCCTCAAGTTTCTTGTTACCCTTCCATGTAAATACCCCGCACCTCGTCTCGTGCTTGGTATTGGGTTTATCGGACCGAGAGTTCGTCTGGGGAATTACGCGCGGAACATTTTGGTATGAGCTCAATATCTGCTACTTTTTCAGTTTTGTGTAGGCTGATTGATATATTTTTTTTCTAGCGTATTCTCTATTCTCTAAATTCATTAGTAAATATAATATTTGGTAGATTTTTTAATCATGTTCAATCTGAGACCATGTGTATGTAGTCTAGGCTGCTTTGATCAAATTATATTTTTTCTGCCATTTGGATTATTGGCAATTTGAGACAGAAATTGATGCATTTTCTTTCAGTTTTATGCAGAAGGGGACCACCCCAGTCTGGCTCCTAGATGGGTAGCCTCCCTAGGAGAATTCCACGTGCCTATGGGTAGCCTACCTGCCACTATGTCATATAAATCTAAATAAAATAAAATAGTTTATCTATTTCAGAACGTGTATGCCCTATTTTACATTGGGTGGAGAGAAGGGGGTCAGTTCCAGATAGAGTGGGTAGTTGAAGAAGCAGGAGGTATATAAAAGGAAAACACAGAGATGGCCTACTTTTGCCTATCAGTGGAATGTAAGAGGAGCTTGTAAGTAAGGACCTTATTATTGTAAATTGCAGGTCGAAGGTAATTACTGTGTTAAGAGGAAGTAATGAGCAGAAGTCCCTCTAGGCTGTACAAAACTCACTTTAATAGAACGTTTATTTACATGTAAAGGGGAAACTCCACTGTAACAGAGTGACACTGTATGTGTGTCAAACAAAAAACCAATGATTGTGTACTTAAACCATATAACTCTCTGTACAAGGACTACTTTTAGCAGTTTTGCTCACTCTGTAAGGAGCCTATTCAGAATTTCCCTCAACCATCTTAAACCTCTGACATTAGCCATCATAGGCTTTCTTCTGGATTTCATGTCAGAGGAAATAATGTGGTTTTCATTTAGCTGTAAATAATATCCCAATCAATGTTAATACAGTATGAGTGATTAAATTATGTTTGTCTGAGGGTGATGCATAGGCCTAGACTAGTTGTGCATGGGGAGTACAGCCAGTGTCTTGACTTCACTCTTCAGTCTTGTGTCTATCATGAAAGTGTTCATGCATGTAGTCAGTGTGTGTAGGAGTTGCCTAGCTGTCTCCCTCGCCTGGCCTTCTGCTGGGTTCCCTGGGGAGCTGATTAGCGGGGCCAGTGTGATTTAGAGGTCAGTGGGGCACCAGGTGTGTAATGGGGAAATGATGACCCATAATGGACGTCTGGGGAAGGGGGCCCATTAAACTCATATGAGATCAGGAAACCAGAGATTATTTTTTCATTGATTACGGTTTTTCTTCCCAGGTGGTGAGACAATGCCTATTATCAGTGTACAAGATAAGTGCTGACCAATGAGAAGGAGAGAAAGGAAGGGGCCATTTTATGAAGGGCTACTAGCTAACTACTGCTTGATGTTTTGTCTTTTTAATTGACATTTTAGGGAATGCAAGGCTAATGGAGAGAGATTGTAAAACAGAAGTGCACTTTTAGACATAAATCAGTTTGTAAATTGGTCTCTACTGGATTAAATCACAGGATTATTGGACTATTAGTCATAGGAGACCAAGCTGCCTAGTGGCCATTGAAGGAGCAAGTGAATAGCCTGGTGGCACAATAAAGAAAGCTTTCTTCAGTCTTTTGCCTAGCAGGGGCTCTATACCTCTTTATTGGTACCTTGAAACAATAAACGCTTGTCATTACCCACAGCTCCTGGCTCTTTCAGCACAGTCAAATCTGCTATCATTAAGTGTTTTAACGCAGATAACTGAAGAATAGGGAAAATATTCATGTTTGGTCCTTCCTTTCAGAGGCAGGCTGAACAGAGAAGCTCTTAACAAAGCAGTGGTAGCGGGGGGGAGTGAGTGTTCTCTTCAGGGGAGCAGGCTGGGCTGCCCCTCAGCTCACACATTCATTAGTCCTCTCCAGCTGGAGACTGGGTGGCAAGGCTGGCATCCCCCCTTGCTGTGCACTTGTTATTGTGTGTGTGTCTGTGTCTGTGCCTTTGTGTCTGTATGTGAGGAAACCGAAAGAGAGAGCTGTGTGTTTGACTGACTGTGTGTGTGTGTGTGTGTGTGAGAGAGAGTGTGTATTTAATGTAACTCATGGGTGGAGAAAATCTTTGTAGACTTAAGCACTAAAAGGAAGGCCTCTATCTGACTAACACAAGGGGCCTTTTCTGTTCAGTGGTCCAGGACAATGAATCCAAATCAGATGATTATGATAACTTGATTGGCCAGAGTCTAGAGTCTTTGGTCAGTACAGTAGCTTCCCACAGCTGGAAGTGTGTGTGTTACTGTGGCAGCGCTGGTCTTGTAAAGACAACATCCTAAACCTCAGTTATTCATTGTCAGTGTCTTCTGGTAATACCTTTGATGTTGAAATTCTAAGTGCTGTTTGCTGACCAAGAGAAATCTGAGGGCCTGCCCATCCCTGCCTCAAGGCTTAGAGCCAATTTATGCTTTATCCGGAAATGTGGTCGGAGGCACCGTATGGATGGTATGATGCAATTGCGGAGCCTTCGGAGGCACGCAGAGGCCAAATTGAGCTCTGTACCGCATCGCCGTGCACCTCTCAAATTTTGTAACAGTGCGGAGGGCTCCGTATAGCTCCGCATTGACATGATTGGTTGACGGTAGGTGAGGGCAGGAGGTCCTGTATAAACACAAACTCACTTCCTTGACAACTTCCTTCACAACAGCTCTGCGCTGCTCCGCGAAGCGCCAGAAGTATGAATGACTTCTGCCATATCACCTTAAATGATGCACGGCCAATGCAGACGTCGGAATGACCATGCAGCGCCTTTTAGGCTACACTCACAAGTTTGCCCCAAATATACATTCAGAATTGGTTCATTTGATAGTATTTGATAGTTGTATGATCTTGGAGTGACTATTTTGATTTTTAAAAATTACATGATTGTTACCATAAAACTTTGAGTGATACCATGACAACAATCAAAAGATCCTCCCCTCAGAAATGAACTCCTTAACCTGTGTCAGCAGTTCCCGAGGCTCCACCCCTGGAGGGACCAGGGCTAAAGGCGCTGAAATAGATTTGGGGATTAGCGAACGGGTCAAAGTTTTGATTTAATCTGGGTCTCTCTCTCTCTCTCTCTCTCTCTCTCTCGCTCGTTCTCTTTCTCTCTCTCGCTCTCTGCTGGAGGTGGTGTGGGGAAAGACAGATGGCTGAGTTTGACTAAATCCAGTGCTGGGGAGCCAATCCCGCTCTGTACTGAACACTTGTCTCAGTCATCATCCAATCACGTCGCTGATCCCTGTTCCAAAACCCACTGGAGAACACCCCTCCAGCATGCCAGAAAATTTGATAGATCACTATCCTTTGGGGTCAGACTCCTATCTCTGCTAACTTCATTACAGACAACTATGCCGCTTGACCCAAAGGGGTCCTGGCCGGCCCAGCGGCTCACTGAGTTAGTGAAACTGCTCTAGCAGATGCCCTGACACAGAGACAAAACAAGCAGGGTCTTCTCTTCCAATCCAGAGACTCATCTCATATTTCTGTGGCTGTTTGACTTCTTATGTAACCCCCTGTGTCCCCACAGGCACTAGCTCTGGAAGGTTTATGTAAGAGTAGAGAGAGATCATCTCTGGTACAGTAGAGGTACAGCTGGTCCAGAACACAAAAGGTTAAATCCCTGTGTGAGGCTAGGCTATGCCCCAGAGCGTGCTAAAGAAATACATACTCTTGTTGTAATGAGGTGGATGGATGTGAGCTTAAACAAATGGAGGGAGAAAATGCCCTCACTAATGGGAATGTTAGACAGCTGCCGGCGGCTTAGAATTCTAAGAACACAATTACATGTTAATTCTAGCATGTTGGTTCTATGTCTCATTGTGTGGATGTAATGTTGTTGTTTGGAGTGGCTCCATCCTGTGCTCTGCTATGTGCATGTCTCAGGTGGAGGTGAACATCACTCTGACTCACTCTCCAGTAAATGAAGGCCCTGCAGCGTTGGCTGGCTCCCCATACTGTTTCTGTTGCCAGGTGTCTGAAAATATTGTTTGTGGGGATTGTCACATTTAAGGGCATGCAATAGTATGTGTTATAGTGTTATAGTAGTAGAAGTTGTGTGTTGTGCTGCCATAGCGACATTAGTTTCACTTATCTAGTTCATGTGCCTATTTTGAACATGGGTAAAAAATGCACTTCTTTCATAGTTTCACCAATATTAGGGCCGTTGGCAGTGAAAGAGAGTTCCATGCAACTGTCTCTTTCAGCCTGCTCATAAGCCAGCACCCCGTTTCGTTGCTGCTTGCAGCTATATTGATCCTACATTTTTGTTCGATATTCTTAAACCCTCCAACAATTGTCTTATTTTGTCATACAACAGTCCTGAAATCCTCACACTTACCAACAACTTCAGTGGAGTCTAGAACTGAGATAATCTTTGACTAGCAGAATTCCTGACATGCTTCATGGATATCAAGGACTGTGCAGTTACTCAGGAGGTGTGTAGTTGTCTTCTCACTGCTTGGCAGCTGACAACTGACCACTTCATTCTGACAAAGTTACATTGATGATTAAGAGCAGGAAAATATATAGCTAGTGGTGTTAAAACACTTTAGACTTTTTGAATATGTAGTATCTTTAGTTGTATAGGCTGCTACATACAGTAGGTGATTCTAACATGTATTGACTCAGGGGTGTGAATACTTATGTAAATTAGGTATTTCATTTTCAATACATTTGCAAACATTTCTAACATTTTCTATTGTGTATAGATGGGTGAGAGAAATGTAATCAATTTTGAATTCCGGCTGCAACACAACAAAATGTGGATTAAGTCAACGGGTATGAATACTTTCTGAAGACACTGTAGAATCCTCACCATGCCATATTGCAATCTTTTGAATTTAAATCAGTTGAAGAAGGATTCCCTTCAGTGTGTAATAACATAGTCATACAGTTAGTGTAGACATGAACTCGGTCAATAGTTTAATCAGATGTGACATTTGTTCATTTCTGTGGGTCAAAATCCCCAAAGTATGGACAGTTTCAGCCACCCATCTGTTTTCCAGGAGAATCAGCTGTCTTTGTCAAAGATACAAATGTCTCAGTGATGTTGGACCAAGCATTAGTTGAATGAGTTATCATCAGTTACTTACTTATCTTGGGGCATCTATGAATGTAGTCCTTAAATATTCACAAGGTTTCCTTCTATCTCTAAACAAATGTAGCCTACAGTATTGAAACTACAGAACTACAGCGTAGGCTAATACATGGCAGTGGCCCATGGTTTAGAGTTATGCCTGGGAGTATTTTGTTTGACCTTTTGTTGCTGCTATTTGACAGTTTAAGGAATAAACAGCGTTCTAAGACATTCCAACGTGGTCAAGCTAGTTTGGTGATGACCAGCCTCCTTTAATAGGTTTGACCCCTGTATCACCTCAGTGTCCCAGACCATCTTCCCAATGGTGTGGATGGAAACCTTCTGGAGACCTGACTTTCCCTCAGATTCACTAGCTGCCAATCCAGGAATAGATCAAACTACACCGAGGGAGGAGAGGGTTAAATCTAGCAGTCGCAAAACATGCCTGTATGAAAATAAGTAGTTTTTCAGTTCCTCTGATTTTGGAAAAAAATTGTCCTCAGGGCCTCCTCGCTCTCAAAACTGGTCTGAAAAGCAAAGGGAGCTTGGCATTTTTGTAAGTTTTGAACCAAGTCCTGAGTTCCTGAAAGGTTCGCACAAAAGCCCAGTTGCCTAGCTGCCTGTGAGGAGCCCTGCTCTGCCAGCCTTTGTGTGCGGCTATCTGGCTGAACAGACCTCTTATGGAGACCCACAAGAATGCAGAGGGGGAGAGACTTTCTCCCTGCTTAATTTTATTCATTTCTCAGCTGGCAGGAAGGAGTCATTCAAATATTACCATAGTGCATTTAGCAACCATTTTAAACTCAAAGAAATGGTATTTCAAAAGTATGCAGAGAATCCTTCTTTGACTATTTCTAGCACATTCCATCCTGATACATAGAATAGTCATTTGAACATAGGCATACGTTTTCTTTTGAATACGACCTTTTTCACCTATTCACATTTCAAATGTCTAAGTTAAAATGCCCCTTTCACCACATCTTCAGTTGTGTGTTGAAGTGACCATGCATGACATTCTGTAGATTCAAAGGGTGTAATACATAGCTTTTCTCACCCTGGGTGTGGTGCATAAACACTGACTAACCCCCCCTCAGGACCTTTCATTTTGACTCACCCTCTATAGATAAAAAGGTCTGGAATGTCTTTACTTGTTAGACCCAGACAGAGGAATTGGCTTCCTCCTTCAGAAGCTTCAGTATGATGAAATCATTGACAGTTTTATAGCTGTGTGTGGAATGAGGTGTTGGTTAGTATGGCAAGAAAATATTCTCTTGGACTCTCCAGTAAGTCTTTTAAATACTGGCTTCATGAAAGTAGTGTTCTTTATCTGATTCTAATGGATTAAAGGTTTAATGCTTGTCTGGAGGATATTCCCCTGTTTGGATTTGAATTTGAAACATGGCATATTTGGGAACCGAAAGTATTTGTTATGCTTCTGTTTTAAAGTGACAGAAGATTAGCGTACAGCAAGATGTGCTAATTGTGCATAATAGATAATGAAGGGTTGTGTTTTCTAAACACTGCATGAGTTTTGGGTCTGCTTGTTAAACTTGTTAATGCTTATCCTAGCGTGATCACCCTTGGCCTGACAATGGCATAGTTCCACTTGACGGCTACTGTACTGTTTGATCTGAATTATAGCCTACATGTGGTAACTAACTGTCTTCAATGAGGTCACCCTGGTGAAAGGACATGACTTCAGTATTCTATTATTTTAACCTGGCAACTGTGGTACATCCAGGAATATCTTTACAAATAATATAAAATTAATAGCATTGCAATCCATTCACTGTGCAATAGGTAATTCAAACCAGAGTAGAGAGAATTTCTATACTGTATATATTAATTTTTATATTTTCATAGATTTAACGATGTTGGCCTGTAGCAATGCAGAACTCTGAAAATGACTGTTCCAGTGAACCAACAATAATACTGTCTGTCCCTGTTAGTATGGTGTACAGTGTACATCACAAATGCAATACTGTATTTGTATACGTGTGTGTGTATGTGTGCATGCATGCATGTGTGTGTGATATACTTTATTTGCAGAGAAATTATTTCAACACACTACAGCCATTAGAGTAGTTATCAAACAGTGGTGGAAAAAGTACCCAATCATCATATTTGAGTAAAAGTAAAGATACCCTAATAGAAAATGACTCAAGTAAAAGTGAAAGTCACCCAGTAAAATACTACTTGAGTAAAAGTCTAAAAGTATTTGGTTTGAAATATTCTTAAGTATCAAAAGTAAATGTAATTGCTAAAATATACTTAAGTATCAAACGTAAAAGTATAAATCATTTCAAATTCCTTATATTAAGCAAACCAGACGGTACCATTTTCTTGTATATTTAATTTACGGATAGCCAGGGGCACACTCCAACACTTAGACATAATTTACAAACGAAGCATGTGTGTTTAGTGAGTCCGCCAGATCAGAGGCAGTAGGGATGACCAGGGATGTTCTCTTGATGTGTGAATTGGACAATTTTCTGGTCCTGCTAAGTATTCAACATGTAACGAGTACTTTTGGGTGTCAGGCAAAATTTATGGAGTAAAAAGTACATTATTTTCTTTAGGAATGTAGTGAAGTAAAAGTAAAAGTTCTCAAAAATAGAAATAGTAAAGTAAAGTACTGATACCCCAAAAAAACAACTTAAGTAGTACGTTAAAGTATTTTACTTGATTACTTTACACAACTGTTGTCAAAGTAGATTAGACTCAGGGGATCAGATGGGACATGCCGCTTCCTCTCCAGATTGGAGCTGAACAATGAGTGTTCACAGGAAAATAGTTCTGACTGTGTGTTCGGTATCTCTCACTTCCTCTAGAAAGAGGGCGGTTTGAGCTAATAATGAGCTCAGGTTTGTCTCATGTTTCAGAGTCGTATCCTTGGACTTGTAAGGTGCCCTCGGAACAAGAGAATCTCATGAGACGAGATGGAACATCCCTGTCTGGTACCATCTTTCCCACGTAGATTTTCAATTTAAGTCCCCAAACAACAGTTCTTTATGGCAGTGACATTTGAAGTTAACTTAGAGAGGAACTGACAGTTAATAGGTGAAGTTGTGCTCTGGCCCCTCCCTTCCTTCCATAATTGTTGACAGAAGTCAGAGATTACACCGAGCTGGGTGCCTTTAGCAGTGTCAGGATCCACCCACCTTCATGCTTTACAGCGAGCGGATCAGATGCCCCCCGGATTAGAGGCACCCGAAAGGGATCTTTAATCGGAGCGCTGTATCATACTCACCAACATTAATCCAGTTAATTGGGTCCCGGCATTGGAGGTGTGAGGGACCGTGAGAAACTCCATTAAAGCCACACTGGTAGAGGAGTAGGCCAGCCCCTTTGCTCTCACTCTGCACCAAGGGGCCAGGATAAAAGGCCTCTGAGCCCTCAGAAGCCCCCGCTGAGAAGAGATGAAACCCTCGCTTCCAGCCAGCAGACTCCCAGAACAACCAAATGGGGATTAGTAAGGTATCTAGCGTATATCCCTGATGAACAGATGTTTTGAAGTGTTTTCAACAGACTTATGATCTATGGCTGCAGTATAGCCTGCTTGTCTAAGTTATTTAGCTCTTCAAAGAGCTTTATCTAGACACTCTGTTTAAGTTGATAGGGGGTGGGGCTAAAAGAGACAGACCAATCTATCCAAACTATCATTACGACATAGCATGACTTAGCATGGTTATTTTGTCCCTCTCTGTTCTCTCTTAGCTAAAGGTGGTGCCTGTGAAATAGGTGTGACTGAAACCTTATAGTAGATGCGCTGGACCAAGCGGTAGACAGATTCCTTAGCACTACATAATTAGGATTATTTGCCATATGTCTCAGATGCAGAAAGGGATGTCCATGATCAGGAAAATAAACAAGATAATTGGTCCAGGACCTGTACTTTACAGGATTACATGGTGGGCTATTTCATAATGTAATGCTGTTTCTTCCTTGGTATAGTTTTTCAACTGTCCCTGGAATGTATAGTTTAAGATTTACCAGCTCATTAACTTAACTTCTTGGATCATTAATTTCATTCAATTTCTGTATATGATGCATGTTGAAAGTGGGAACACAATATCCTCCAATAATTGCCTCCACTTATAGCACAAATAGCATGAAACTGAAGCAATGATACAGTGCCTTGCAAAAGTGTTCATCCACCTTGGCGTTTTTCCTATTTTGTTGCATTACAACCTGTAATTTAAGTGGATTTTTATTTGGATTTCATGTAATGGACATACACAAAATAGTCCAAATTGGTGAAGTGAAATGAAAAAAAGAACTTGTAAATTAAAAAAAAAAAAATAAATAACGGAAAAGTGGTGTGTGCATATGTATTCACCCCCTTTGCTATGAAGCTCCTAAATAAGATCTGGTGCAACCAATTACCTTCAGAAGTCACATAATTAGTTAAATAAAGTCCACCTGTGTGCAATCTAAGTGTCACATGATCTGTCACATGATCTCAGTATATATACACCTGTACTGAAAGGCCCCAGAGTCTGTAACACCACTAAGCAAGGGGCACCACCAAGCAAGCGGCACCATGAAGACCAAGGAGCTCCCCAAACAGGTCAGGGACAAAGTTGTGGAGAAGTACAGATCAGGGTTGGGTTATAAAAAAATATCTGAAACTTTGAACATCCCACGGAGCACCATTAAATCCATTATTAAAAAATGGAAAGAATATGGCACCACAACAAACCTGCCAAGAGAGGGCCGCCCACCAAAACTCACGGACCAGGCAAGGAGGGCATTAATCAGAGAGGCAACTAAGAGACCAAAGATAACCCTGAAGGAGCTGCAAAGCTCCACAGCGGAGATTGGAGTATCTGTCCATAGGACCACTTTAAGCCGTACACTCCACAGAGCTGGGCTTTAAGGAAGAGTGGCAAGAAAAAAGCCATTGCTTGAAGAAAAAAATAAGCAAACACGTTTGGTGTTCGCCAAAAGGCATTTGGGAGACTCCCCAAACATATGGAAGAAGGTACTCTGGTCAGATGAGACTAAAATTGAGCTTTTTGGCCATCAAGGAAAACGCTATGTCTGGCGCAAACCCAACACCTCTCATCACCCCGAGAACACCATCCCCACAGTGAAGCATGGTGGTGGCAGCATCATGCTGTGGGGATGTTTTTCATCGGCAGGGACTGGGAAACTGGTCAGAATTGAAGGAATGATGGATGGCGCTAAATACAGGGAAATTCTTGAGGGAAACCTGTTTCAGTCTTCCAGAGATTTGAGACTGGGACGGCGGTTCACCTTCCAGCAGGACAATGACCCTAAGCATACTGCTAAAGCAACACTCGAGTGGTTTAAGGGGAAACATTTAAATGTCTTGGAATTGCCTAGTCAAAGCCCAGATCTCAATCCAATTGAGAATCTGTGGTATGACTTAAAGATTACTGTACACCAGCGGAACCCATCCAACTTGAAGGAGCTAGAGCGGTTTTGCCTTGAAGAATGGGCAAAAATCCCAGCGGCTAGATGTGCCAAGCTTATAGAGACATACCCCAAGAGACTTGCAGCTGTAATTGCTGCAAAAGGTGGCTCTACAAAGTATTGACTTTGGGGGTGTGAATAGTTATGCACGCTCAAGTTCTGTTTTTTTGTCTTATTTCTTGTTTGTTTCACAAGAAAAAATATTTTGCATCTTCAAAGTGGTAGGCATGTTGTGTAAATCAAATGATACAAACCCCCAAAAAATCCATTTTATTTCCAGGTTGTAAGGCAACAAAATACGAAAAATGCCAAGGGGGTGAATATTTTCACAATCCACATGTGTAAATATTGGCATATAAATTGTGTCTTCCTGTATTATACTCATGCTAAAATGTTTATTCTGTTCTACTGAGCCATTTACTTTATGTTTGTATTCTTATCTTGTATTATTTCTTATTGTTGTTGGATTGTCGAGGAACCTGCAAGTAAGCATTTCATTGGACGTGTATACCATGTGGATCCTGTACAAACGACTAATAAAATTGAAGCACTATAACCAGATAATGAGCCAGGTTAAGACATGTAAATAAAGACTGTTTCTTAACCACTCATCAATGAAATGCCTTAGAGGTGATCCTGGTAAAAGACTGGGGGAAAAACCAACAATAGACCTGCATTGAAATTATGCATTGATATGCTATATTATGCACACATCCTTTTGCCTTGGTATAGCCTTCTCTGGTATACCTTTACAAACCCATAAAACTGGGCGATGATGTGGATGTCGATTAAAGCAGCCCTTTGCACCTCTCTGATTCAGAGGGCTTGGGTTAAATGTGGAAGACACATTTCAGGTAAATGCATTGCTGTACAACTGACGAGGTATCCCCCTTTCCCTTTCCTTTCCTTTAATGTCTATGGGGCTGAATGGAAGAAATCATTATTTTGTCATATTGCTTACTGTGGCTGTGTCCTCTGACACTTGAGAAGATAGCTAGGTGACCTCATCACCTGTCATAATGATGGAACAAACGCATAACAAGCTTTCAGACCACCATTAGTAACTTCAACAAGCACACATACTTAGTCTAAAATGACAATGTACCATTTTCTTGGCAGTTCACTTGGTTTCAACAAGCATGACTGAATACAGCCTGGCGGATGAGCAGTCTTATAATTTAGCTAATAAGCTACATTGAGTATACTGGTTTGCACAGCTGCTGGCGTGGTTAATCGTGAGCTAGTTCCTCTGAGTCAGGTAGAAACATTCACAGATTTGACAGCTCGACACGTTGATGGGTGTAATGATGGTAGGAACTCCTGGAAAGACAGCCTTTTTCCAGTGAGTCACTGCCTGCGGTCACACCAACTCTCACTCAGCTAACCGCAGAAGTCTAACTCCTGTGGTTGTTTATAGCTGTTTTTATGGCATTGTGTCTGATGGTATGACATAAAAAGTGAAAACAAAAGTGTTTGTGTGGATGACGCTCTCCTCTGTTGTTGATGTCAATCACCCCTATTCAACCTGTATAAACTAATTTGAAAGACAAAGCTATTCTACAGCTGCTGTCTCCCCAACAGAAAATTGTCTGTTTTCCCAATTCCCGTAGCTAGTAGCAATGACGCAATCACCATTGAAATCTCAATCTATTCCCCCCATTCCCTCCTGGCTTCCTGTTTGACAGTCTACTACTCTACCATGTGACACGTGCTAGCATGTTATCACCACATGTGTTTCCTGTTCTCTTGCAGGCGCTGAGGATGAAATAAGGGAGCCAACCTGGGAGTGTCCGGAGGTCCAAGCCCTCTCTTCTCGCCTCTTCTCCTCCTACCTTTCTGCCCACTACCCCTGTGTGTGTCGGTCATGAGTTAGTGTGGGTGTGGGTGTCAGCCCCCCCTCTCCTCTCCCCCCCCCCCCCCCCCCCCCCACCCCACCCCACCCAACCCCACCCTCTCCTTGGAGCACCGCGTCTAGGAGACAGTGTTTCACTTGCCCTGCTTACATGAGCCAGCAGGATGAGGCTGTGGTCCTCGCACTGTCCGAGCGCCTCCTCGTAGCCTCCCACAAGGGCCAGGCTGACAATGTGGTCCAGCTCATCAACAAGGGCGCCAAAGTAGCCGTCACCAAGGTGAGTGGAGCAGAGGAGGTTGCCTTCTTGTGTGTTTATAACACGTTGTCTTTTGAATGTGTATATATTAGTAGTAGTCACCATGCTTTTTTCCCGTCAGATGTGTGGGTACTGTGTCTGTGTGTAGCCAATTGATTAGTGTGGGTACTGTGTCTGTGTGTAGCCAATTGATTAGTGTGGGTACTGTGTCTGTTTGTAGCCAATTGATTAGTGTGGGTACTGTGTCTCACTCAACTGCAGCCTCATTGGGCCACCAGGACAACGACCATGGGCAGATTGATGTGTGTTGTATGGTTGTATCTGTATTTCATGCTCTGATTAGATCCCCTCTACAGCACAATGTCAAAAGGTTAGTGGGACTGGAGCAGCATAGGACCATATTATAATCCTAACTCTTTCATGGATACACTAATAGGCATATACTGTATGCCTGTTATACTGGTCGGTGTGTAAAACTACCATGTTTCACCACTGAATGTTAGTAGGCCTATTTTACAGGAAGGAGATGTTGGAATTCTGAGAGGAATAGGAATGCGTTAGTGTTGATGACAAATGAACAGGTCCATGAGGGTCTCTGTCTGAGGCTGACCATACCTGTGTATGTGTCTCTTCATGTACATGTCATGTAGCCACAAGCCTCTGCACTGAAAGGACCAGAGGAGGAGTGCAGTACAAATGCAAGAGATTGACACATTTAATATAGACTGATGTAATTCAGTATGTTCAGCTTGAACCAACAGTGTTACTGCAATATGACAATAATGTATCATCATTGCATGACTTGGCTTTACAGAATGTGTGCTGTCAATTTGACAGTGAATCTATCTTGAGCTGTCAGTTTTGGGGTGTTTGCTGAGAGAGTCACAGCCAGACGTGATTGATTGAAGTCATGCACTACAGTAGCAATCCTGTCTGTCTGTGATGTGAATGGTCTTTCTTTGTGTCTCAGTCAGAGCAGCTCTGGTGCAGACCTGAGGTGTTGAGGGAGTATTTAGATCTTCCTCAGATCTCCAGTCATTATCTTTATAGACTGCAATGTGATACTGGTCGATAAGGCAGGCAGAGGCATTTTTTCTTGAGCCTCATAAATGTACTTCCTCAATAACAGGACACATCTCTTGGCAGAAGCTTTCCTTCTCTGCTTTCATTCCTCTTAAATGTATCAAGCTGCTGCACATTTTATTATTTCAGGAAATGAATTCACAATTCTTTATAGGGAGAACGTTGTTAAATGCCCAGCACTTAACAGTTGCGTGAGTGAAATGTGAATAAATGACTGACTAAATGTTATCAGTTATCTTACATTTGCTAGGCCTATCTGTCTCTTTGATAATATTGTGACTGGCTGTATTTGTATTTTTTGGCAGGGTGCCCTAAGAAATGCTAAGCCCAGGAACATGAGGATTACATTTCAGTTGGAAATGCCTCTGTTTCAGGAGAATACGAGGGGAAGGGAGGAGGGAATAGTAGTCGGGAGTGTGAGGTAAAGTGTCAAGTGCTGGATGGATGGTTTAGTTCCTCAGGAAGATAAAAACTGTTTTGAGAATGAGAAAAATGGAGAGAATGAAAAAGAGAGGAGAATAGAACCAGTCTCTCTGAGGTCACACCAGGCCACAGAATAGAGAGCAGGCTCTGTCCAGTTACAGTCTCCTGGGATAACAGAACAGACTTCACCCTGGGCCCATGACTGGTGTTTACCTGAGACGATTCCATGGCAGCCCTCCAAGCCTGGCCCAGTGAAACTCAACTCCTGCCTGGCCCTAGTGAAAACCAGGCAGTGTCGAGCCGCACCCATGTAGCTGGTTTCCCCTGCTGAAGGAACTGTGCCCTCTCCCGTCTCTCTGTTTAATGGAGGGCTGCGAGGGTGAGGTGTTAATGAGGGGGTTTTGTTGATGTAGTTCTTTGTGATTGGTCTGTCAATGCACACCTGACCTCTAATTACATTTTATTAACTCAGACAGATAATTCAATATGGCTGCAGCACCAGTGGTGTGTATTCATGGATTCCAAAGGAAGACAGGCTTCCCCCAAAAATGGACCAAGAAACAAATATAAAAGAATGTATCTTTCGTCTCTCTTTGTTTCATAATTTTCCTTCAATTCGCAAGAGGCTGAATGTATCTCACTGGAGAAAGCATCCAAGCGAGCGTAACAGCGCCCCTCTGTCTCTGTATGTGTAGGCCATCTATCTGATGCTGTCTGTTTCAAGTTTCAAGTTTTAATGTCACATGCACAAGTACAGTGAAAGGCCTTTCTTGCAAACTCAAAACCCAACAATGTAATAATCAATAACAATGTATTAGTAGAAGGAAAAAAAACACGAGAAATAAGAATAGGAAATATGAAATACACAATAAAGTAAGTAAGTAAGCATACTATATACAGGAAATATTTAAAAAGTCAGATCCAATACCATATTTACAATGTGCAGGGATACTGGAGTGATGTAGGTAGATATGTATAGGGGTAAAGGTGACTAGGCAACAGGATATAAGATAAACAGAGTAGCAGCAGCTAGTATGTGAGTGGGTGTGCGGGTGTGTAGAGTCAGTATACATTTCTGTGCATATTATGTGTGAGTGAGCAGATGATGGAGTGTGTGTTTGTAGGTCCCTGTCAGTGTGCATAGATACAGTGCAAAGATTGAAATAAAAGGTCAATAAAGGTACAAAGATACTGGTGTTTACCTGAGACGATTCCATGGCAGCCCTCCAAGCCTGGCCCAGGGAAACTCAACTCCTGCCTGGTCCTGGATGGCAGGTAGTCCATGTAGCTATTATGTTAGCTATTTATCAGTTGTATTGCTTGGAGATAGAAGCTGTTAAAGAGATTGTTGGTGTCAGACTTGATGCAACGGTACCTCTTGCCGTGCGGCAGCAGACAAAATAGTCTATGGCTTGGGTGGTTGGAGTCTTTGACGATTTTCCGGGTCTTCTTTTCACACCGCCTGATATAGAGGTCCTGGATGGCAGGGAGCTCGGCCCCAGTGATGTACTGGGCTGTCCGCACAACCCTCTGTAGCACCATGCGATCGAAGGCGGTGCTATTGCCATACCTAGCAGTGATGCAGCCAGTCAATATGCTCTCAATGGTACAGCTGTAGAACCTTTTCAGGATTTGAGGGCCCATGCCAAACTTTTTCAACCTCTGCCAGGGGGAAGAGGCACTGTCGAGCGACCTTCACGACTGTGCGTGTGTGTTTGGACCATTTTAAGTCTTTAGTGATTTAGACATCGAGGAACATCATGCTGTCTACCTGCTCCACTGCCGCCCCGTCGATGTGGATGGGGGCGTGCTCCACCCCCCCTATTGAGGGAGAGGATGTTGCTCCGGTACCACACTGCCAAGTCACTGACCTCCTCCCTGTAGGCTGACTCATCGTCGCCGGTGATCAGGCCTACCACTATCGTTTCGTCAGCGAACTTGATAATGGTGTTGGAGTCAATCGTGGCCACACAGTCATGGGTGAACGGAGTACAGGAGGGGACTAAGCACACACCCCTGTGGGGCCCCTGTGTTAAGGGTCAGCATGGTGGAGGTGATGTTGCCTACCCTCACCACCTAGGGTCGGCCCGTCAGGAAGTCCAGGATGCAGTTGCAGAGGGAGGTGTTCAGACCCAGAGTCCTAAGCAAGGTGACGAGCTTGAAGGGGACAAAGGTGTTGAACGCTGAGCTGTAGTCAATTAACAGCATTCTCACATAGGGATTCCTCTTATCTAGGTGGGTGAGGGCAGTCTGGTCCAAAACAGTATGACATTGTTGCCGCCCGTAGCATTGAATGCAAGAGAAGCCATTGAGCATTTAGCCTCCCTTGATAAAAAACAGTATAAAATAATAGCCAATCAGCGTTGAGCTAAATTGAGTGTGCTCAACTATGAATGCTCATGGCGCACCCAAAAAAAGTGTCAAGGGAAGCCCGTTTGGATTTGGCATCACTCCTATCAAATCGCATCGAGAGCATACGTCATTGACAGAAACAACTTGAATTGTTGCATTTCCTAAATTAGCCATGGATGGAGATGGGGATTTGGACTTGTGGTTTTACTTAATTCTCCGTACTCGCCAATGATTATAACGGTGATTCTGATCCAACCATTAATTCATACATTGTGCCCCTGGCCTGAGAGGATGGAAGTTCAATATGTAGCTAAATGTAGAATGTAGTTGACTAGCTAACGTTGCCCATGAAAGGAAGTTAGGCTAGCGAGCAAGCGTTTTAGCCAAGTAGCCTAGAACAACAAAAAATAAAAGCGTGTACTGTATGACAGCGTGATATATCATTTTGTCAACATGAAAGAGAGGAGGATGGCATTGGCGTTTCCCACAAGTAGGGGGAGTCAACATGTTTTTTCTACTTGCATGAACGCACACGCACGCACACAAATCAGAAACATGGCCAGCCACATCATATTTAGCTTATGTTGATTGGACTAAATTGTTTTTGGTATCTTTTAGTTGTCACTGTATTAGACTAAGCAGAGGTGATTTGATGATGTTGAAATGTTGAAGTTGAAATGGTGCTGGAATAGTGGAGGCAGCCCCTGTTATCTTTGCGACGTGCGGTAACTCTCCGTGGTTCTAAATCAATAGTTGTTTAGTGGTCCGAAAATAACATTAACTTGCTAGACCATGCTGTAGGTCATGTACAGTAACTGCCTGTTACATGCAATATGCTTTGTGGACTTTACCAGACAGAGGTTGCTCTCCGGTTTTGTGATGAAACAAAGGTGTGGTTGAATTTATTCTGCCACTGTGTCTTCTTATTGTCTCTGCCTTTAGGCCTATATATCACGGTCGCAAGGCATATAAACTATCAGGTTAAAGAGAAAACAGCGCAATTATCACAACACATAGGTTCCCTAGTGATTTTACCCACGCATCGCTGCTGGACAGCACGCGGTTGCATTTTATTTACTGTGCTTTACTGTAGCCTATGTGGAGAGATAGGGTAATGTATCTTGGTATAATGCTTTAGGATTTACTGAGATAATCTGTTTACATTATCTTAACCCCAGTTATCTCTTAAGTACACTTTATATTCCTTTTCAGTTGTTATAAGAAAAGGCACGTTTCATAAAGAGTATCCACCATGCCTTTACATGTCTAACCTTATCTACTCCAATACAGTATATGATCATGGTGTCGAGTAGCATCACTGATTTAGCCTGGCAAACAATCCATTATTACAATAGAAATATAAAGATACATCTTCCAAAACTATAAAGACACATTTGCTCCATAGCAGGCTGCAGGTCCGTAAGTGTTGGCCTTAGAGCCGGAGGATGTGGGCGGCTATTCCATAAGCAGCTGTAGAGGTTCTCTCTCCATCCTAGCTTCTTTTAAACTGTCTGTGGATTAAACATTTGTTTGTTTACTGGCGACTCATTATTACATTTTACATTTTTACATTTTAGTCATTTAGCAGACGCTCTTATCCAGAGCGACTTACAGTTAGCACATACATTATTTTATCGAACCCACAACCCTGGCGTTGCAAACGCCATGCTCTACCAACTGAGCTACATCCCCTGCCGGCCATTCCCTCCCCTACCCTGGATGACGCTGGGCCAATTGTGCGCCGCCCCATGGGTCTCCCGGTCGCGGCCGGCTACGACAGAGCCTGGATTCGAACCAGGATCTCTAGTGGCACAGCTAGCACTGCGATGCAGTGCCTTAGACCACTGACTATTAAAATGGAAAAGATTGCGTGCGGCTAACTGCTGTGCCATGATGACAGAGCCATGTGTTAATGGCTATGATTGACCTGTAGACACATTGTCCCTCTCTCTGTGTCTGATATACAGTCTGGTTGGCTTCAGTTGAGGACACTGATATACAGTCTAGTTGGCTTCAGTTAGGGACACCTACACTACCAGTCAAAAGTGGTTTACATTGTAGAAAAATAGTGAAAACATCAAAACTATGAAATAACACATATGGAATCATGTAGTAACCAAAAAAGTGTTAAACAAATCAAAATATATTTTATATTTGAGATTCTTCAAATAGCCACCCTTTGCCTTGATGACAGCTTTGAACACTCTTGGCATTCTCTCAACCAGCTTCATGAGGTAGTCACCTAGAATGCATTTCAATTAACAGGTGTGCCCTTCTTACATTTACATTTTAGTCATTTAGCAGACGCTCCTATCCAGAGCGACTTACAGTTAGTGAGTGCATACATTTTCATACTGGCCCCCCGTGGGAAACGAACCCACAACCCTGGCGTTGCAAGCGCCATGCACTACCAACTGTGGAATTCCTTTCCTTAATGCGTTTGAGGCAATCAGTTGTGTTGTGACAAGGTAGAGGGGGTATACAGAAGATAGCCCTATTTGGTAAAAGACCAAGTCCATATTATGGCAAGAACAGCTCAAATAAGCAAAGAGAAATGACAGTCCATCATTACTTTAAGACATGAAGTTCAGTCAATACGGAATATTTCAAGAACTTTCTTCAAGTGCAGTCGCAAAGTTTCTTCAAGTGCAGTCGCAAAAACCATAAAGCGCTATGATGAAACTGGCTCTCATGAGGACCGCCTCAGGAATGGAAGACCCAGAGTTACCTCTGCTGCAGAGGGTAAGTTCATTAGAGTTACCAGCCTCAGAAATTTCAGCCCAAATAAATGCTTCACGGAGTTCAAGTCACCGACACATCTCAACATCAACTGTTCAGAGGGGACTGTGTGAATCAGGCCTTCATGGTCGAATTGCTGCAAAGAAACCACTACTAAAGGACACCAATAAGAAGAAGGGACCTGCTTGGGCCAAGTAACACAAGCAATGGACATTAGACCGGTGGAAATTTGTCCTTTGGTCTGGAGTCCAAATTTGAGATTTTTGGTTCAAACCGCCGTGTCTTTGTGAGACGCGGTGTGGGTGAACGGATGTTCTCCGCATGTGTAGTTCCCACCGTAAAGCATTGAGGAGGATGTGTTATGGTGTGGGGGTGCTTTGCTGTTGATACAGTCTGTGATTTATTTAGAATTCAAGGCACACTTAACCAGCATGGCTACCACAGCATTCTGCAGTGATACGCCATCCCATCTGGTTTGTCATCAAGGCAAAGGGTGGCTATTTCAAGAATTTCAAATATAAAATATTTTTTGATTTGTGTAACACTTTTTTGGTTACTACATGATTCCATATGAGTTATTTCATAGTTTTGATCTCTTCACTATTATTCTACAATGTAAAAAATAGTAAAAATAAAGACACTGATATACAGTCTGGTTGGCTTCAGTTGGGGTCACTGATATACAGTCTGGTTGGCTTCAGTTGGGGACACTAATATACAGTCTGGTTGGCTTCAGTTGGGGACGCTGATATACAGTCTGGTTGGCTTTAGTTGGGGACACTGATATACAGTCTGGTTGGCTTCAGCTGGGGACACTGATATACAGTCTGGTTGGTTTCTGTTGGGGACGCTGATATACAGTCTGGTTGGCTTCAGTTAGGGTCACTGATATACAGTCTGGTTGGCTTCAGTTGGGGATACTAATATACAGTCTGGTTGGCTTCAGCTGGGGACACTGATATACAGTCTGGTTGGTTTCATTTGGGGACACTAATATACAGTCTGGTTGGTTTCATTTGGGACACTAATATACAGTCTGGTTGGTTTCAGCTGGGGACACTGATATACAGTCCGGTTGGCTTCACTTGCTGTATCTCTCTTCAGTTGCTGTGCCCCTCTCTTCTGTGTGTGTGTCTGAGCTACAGGTCCCCTGTAAAGTAATGATGGACTGTCATTTCTCTTTGCTTATTTGAGCTGTTCTTGCCATAATATGGACTTGGTCTTTTACCAAATAGGGTTATCTTCTGTATACCCCCTCTACCTTGTCACAACACAACTGATTGCCTCAAACGCATTAAGGAAAGGAATTCCACAGTTGGTAGAGCATGGCGCTTACAACGCCAGGGTTGTGGGTTCATTTCCCACGGGGGGCCAGTATGAAAATGTATGCACTCACTAACTGTAAGTCACTCTGGATAAGAGCGTCTGCTAAATGACTAAAATGTAAATGTGTGTGTTCTGTGTCCGCAGTACGGCAGAAGTCCCCTGCACCTGGCTTCCTACAAGGGCCACATCGAGGTTCTGCGCATTCTGCTGAAGGCCGGCTGCGATCTGGACATCCAGGACGATGTAAGACTGTCTGTTTATATGCTGACTTTCATTTGCTGTTTCCAGCTTGCACTGCAGTCATGATTTTGATAATGAACGTGTGTGTGGACCATTGCTTTGTGTTCTCTGGCACTGCATTAGTGTTGCTCATAATCTTCCCAAATGGACATCACACCCATATTACACAATGTAATATTTATACAATCACGCAAAACAAACTCCAGAATTTTTAACTTAGAACGTGTGAGAGGTCACTTTTGAAACACACAAACGACACAATTGCATGAAGGTTCTGAGTCTGGTTGCTGGTCTGTTTGATTGCAGTGTGGTTTCTCCTGCGTGCGGACTCCTTTTCCATTTCTCTAAGACTGTCACACTAGTAATGTAATGTCCTCCAGTGGCCTAGAGTGGGATTATTTGGACTGCCATCTTGAGGGATGCAGCAGCCCTCCACGAGGCTCACCCTCTGGGTGCAGGTCGCCCCTCCTACCCCTCCCCAGTACCACACCCACAGATAATGGCCCAAAGCTCTGGCGCTCCCAAATTCTCTCCATCTGGTCAATGAGCTCCCGATCCCGAACCTGCCGCAGCATGTCCCCAGCCACCAATGGGATGAGTGGCCACAAGGAGAAGGAGGAGGAGGAGGAGGAGGAGGAGGAGGAGGGGAGAGAGAGACGGCAGTGGAGGAAAGCTGCTGGGACTGGGCCTGGGAGAGAGCCTGGGAGATCAGGGAGAGTGAAGAAGGAGGTTAGAGAAAAGCTGTTTGGCACGCCTCTTAGTTATCTCGATTGGAATGACCAAACCAAACCAAACCCCACCTCCTCTGGTCAAAGGAATCAGCGCTTCTTCTTGCTTCCTTTCTTCCACCCTTCTCATCATGTCATGTCAAACCTGGCCTGCTAAACGTCACTCTGTTCAGCTGCTGTGAGAAGGGTTCTCCATGTTTGCAGGAATTCCATTTATGGTAGAACATAAATGAGAGCTGGGCTGAACTTAGTGCTTTTGCCTGCTGCTTCTGTGGTTGTGTTCACTGCTTTGTATGGAGGATGCCTACTGTAGTAGACTGTGATTAGTATGAAGGCCTATCTGGTGTCATACTGCAGCGATGATTGTCATTTCTTGTGTCAATAACAACCTGAAACTTTGTTGGATAGATGATGTACTCATTGTGAGAGAGCCTACTAAAAAGTTGACCTACTGCATTTTGTTGTTGTATTCATCATTGTCCTCTGAACTAATTGTTGATGTGTGGGTGGGAAAATAACCCCCTAACTGAGCTGTGTGTGTGTGTGTGTGTGTGTGTGTGTATGTGTGTGTGTGCGTGCAGGGTGAGCAGACAGCCTTACATCGGGCAGCCGTGGTGGGAAACAGTGACGTTATCTCTGCCCTCATCCAGGAAGGGTGTGCTCTGGACAGACAGGACAAGGTACATATCTCTCACACACACACACACACACACACACACACACACACACACACACACACACACACACACACACACACACACACACACACACACACACACACAAACAGCGCTCACACAGGGCTAAAAGCAGAGCCCCAATGCAATGGGATTTTAAACCCCAACAAACTGTCAGCACTAACACTATTTGACAATCTGTAGAGAAAACACTGTGCCTGTAATTGGCTTAACCCCCATTTATTCCCAGCGAAGAAAATAGAATGCGTCCCAAATGGCACACTATTCCCTATGGGCCATGGTCAAAGGTAATGCACTAAATAGGGAATAGGGTGGCATTTTGGATTCATCAATAGCCCCATGGAAGTCCATGTGGATAGAAAGACTGTATATTGCTAGGCCTCGACATGCAACCTCTTACGTTACCTCACTATCTCCTCCTTATCCTGCTATTTCAGCTATTTTGACTGAATGAAAACCAATAACAGAGTTGTCCAGTATGATAGTTACTAATCCAGAAGTCAGGTGGTAGATGTTTAAAGCTCTTGACTTGTGTGTGTTATTACAGGACGGTAACACTGCTCTGCATGAGGTCTCGTGGCACGGCTTCAGCCAGTCTGTCAAACTGCTGGTTAAGGCCGGAGCCAACGTTCACGCAAAAAACAAGGTGATTCTACTGCAAATACTGTAGATGTGATTGGTTATAAAACAGGTGGTGTTCTAGGAGGTCCTGTACTGCGACAGCAGACTAATATATTTTAGTGTTGACCTGGGTTGTGTTCAATAGGGCACACCATAGCAGAGATATACAGCACTGGAGGGTGGTGAGGGGAGGACGGCTCATAATAATGTCCAGATCGGAGTTAATGGAATAGCATCAAACACATGGAAACTGGAATGGAGCGAATGATACCATTCCATTCGCTCCGTTCCGGCCACCAATCTCCTGGGAATACAGCTGCAAAACTGAAATATGTTCCAAAACTTTATCTCGCTGTTAAACACAACCCTGGTGTCTGTCTGTCCATGTAGGCAGGGAACACAGCCCTTCACCTTGCCTGTCAGAACGGCCATGCTCAGAGCTCCAAGGTCCTACTGCTGGGTGGCTCCAGGCCCGACAGCAAGAACCATGTAAGTCCTCTTCCTCTATGGTTGGCTAGTCTATGGGGTGCCATTTGTAACCTGCTCTATTTTGTGTGAAAGATTAATTCCGTGGCACGAAATTGAGCTAGTTACATATGGCACCGCATCGTAGTCTGAACCACTGCTTAGGAAATCCATGCTGACAATAGAAGCCTTTCTACAGTTAAATAGCACCACATAGCAGTTTGCATGCTTAAGTAGTCACTTAATTATGAAACGACGTAAGCGTGTGTGTGGTTTACTCTGCACTTCAAATCTAATCTCCCTCATGGGTGAACTGCTCTCAGTCAACAAGAACAAAGCTACAGAGCAGAGGAAGTAGCTCTCAATGCCGTTCGTTTGTCCTCGAGTCACTTCCCTGTGCCATAAAAATGCTCCTGTCTTTGATTGCTATCCCAACATCTGCGTGAATGGAAACTCGAGCTGTGTGTGTTGTGGTGGTGGTCTCTCTTCATTGTGCTTCAGGTAGGTGACACGTGTCTGCATGTGGCAGCCCGCTACAACCATGTGTCCATGCTCCGTATCCTCCTGGGAGCCTTCTGCTCTGTGGCAGAGAAGAACCAGGTTAGTCTGAACATGTGACTGACACTGCTTTCACACAGAGGCCTTTACCTTATTTTTCTGATATTTGAAGGGGGTGTGAATGCAGCTCGAGACCCTACTTTGACACTACTTCCTTTCTGCTCATTGAGATGTAATGGAGAAATTACATTTATTATAACTTTGATAGAGAAGGTCTTTTAAATGTCGATCATTTTTTGGTAAAATGCTATTGCGATGCATGTACAACTACTATGTGAATGTACTTCTTTAGTAGCTTTATCCATTTAATGTAATAATATCATTGTCATGTAAATCATATATTTGTTAAAGGTCCTTCACTTGCTGTATCCTAACTTAGTCTTAGCATTGTGCACTGGATATATTATAGTTATGGCTGTATTTAGGTTTTAATAGCACAGAGCAGGGACTTACAGTATAACATTGTTCTGTATTTGTTTGTTGAAGCATAAAAATCCAACAGAACATTCAGTATGCTAAGTCTCTCTCTCCTCTCCTCTCTCTCTCTCTCTCTCTCTCTCTCCTTTCTCTCTCTCTCTCTCTCTCTTCCTCTCTCTCTCTCTCTCTCTCTCTCTCTCTCTCTCTCTCTCTCTCTCTCTCTCTCTCTCTCTCTCTCTCTCTTCTCTGGGCCAGGCTGGGGACACACCGCTGCATGTTGCAGCTGCGCTGAATCATAAGAAAACAGTGCGGCTTCTGCTGGAGGCAGGAACAGACAGCAGCATTCGCAACAACGTGAGTAAAGTGCCTCCGTACCCCGGCCCTACTATGTTCACTATGCTCTGGAGCAGTCATGCACTTCTAAAGGCCCTCTTAATCTCGACTAATGTCACCGCACATTTTGTTTGGTGAATAACCTGCTCTCGAGCCATCCTTGTAGTATTTCACTCAGTTAAAGCCATGCAGACTTTGATGAGTAACAGTATACTGTTCAAGAAACATCATTTTGGCATACTGACAACTGAAATAGCTACATGGAAATATATTTGTATATTCGTCCTCAACATATACAGTTGAATCGTTCATCTCTAACTAGGCCTGCGTCCTATTCTCTAGATCCCTCAAACTCATCTCTGGACCTCCAAGTCAGTTCCACTGCATTTTTTCATTGTTCCCCTCTAGTCAGACTTATTTAGACCTGTGATACCAGTTGTGTGCAATTAATTATCAGGTAGAACAGAAAACCAGCAGGCTCTGGACCCTGGTCAAAAGTAGTGCACTATAAAGGGAAAAGAGTACCATTTGGGACACAGTCTAGGTGTTGATTGGCCTCATCTGTGTGTGTGAAGGCAGGCCAGACTGCACTGGACCAGGCCAGAGAACACAACAACCCAGACGTTGCCCTTCTCCTGACCAAAGCGCCTCAGGTGAGTACAGGTTCACCAGGTCTGACCAGCAGGGGCAGCCAAGCAGTGTTTATCACCTCCTCACATGCCTGCTCACTATATATTTATATAGAAACACTCATGCTGACAACTGTGTTTGGACTTGAGTTACGATACTTCAGGTGTTTGACTCATGCTTTATCGGTCTAAAGTTCTCATATCGCCATAACACTTATCTGACTTCATTCCTGTGGGTTGGCAGTAAAGGTGTTCCTGCATCAAGTGCAAGTATGGGCAGAGTCCATGGGAGACTACTATAGATTTGATAGATATGCACTGGCACTTGGGAAGAGATAGGGAAAATGAGAGGATAAACTAAAGTCAGCATTCTTTAGCTAATATCCCTTATCAATTAACTACTTACTGATTCAACCATCACTGATTTGATCATTTGCATTTGATCCAGTGTAATTAGCTGGATATAGGCTAAAGTCATTTAAATTCAGGATGGCTAACCAATCAGTAAACTTGAAGCCTCAGTAAATAATACACTGGCCTTCAGTTCGTAACCTGTTCTCCCTCTTTATGTTCATGTCCAGAGCTTTACCCGAGGCAGGAGTGTGAGGAAGAGGAGGGACAAGCTGAAGGCAGATCGCCGAACACAGTCTGTCCCCAGGGATGACATGCTGCCCAGGAAGGTACAGTTACAGTACAGCTGCTCATCTCATTCCTACTGTGTGTGTGTGTCAGGATATGATAGCATAGATGCTCAGATGTTCGCCTGAAAGACTAATTTTTTGTCGTTTCTCACAGGACAGCGCATCTGCTGCTGATGACACCCCCAGCAGCGACCGCGTCGCCCGCAAACATGAGGTGATCGAGGCGAGCACCAGCAAGAGCACAAACAGGAAGCTCAAAGAGAAGGTCAGCTATTACCGTAACCTTCTGACAACAACACATTTACCCAGGTGAAATATGTTATTAATATTAAACAGGTGGAATATGTGATGAGCTGTAATGTGCTGTTGTGTCATGCAGCCCTCGCTCTCAGACCCCCTCCGTCGTAGAGAGAACAAACACGGAGAGAAGAGGCGGGACAAACTGCGAGGCTCCTCCCCCCAGCCCCCGCTCCCCCCACACAACTACAAGGCCTATCAGCTGTACACTCTGTACCGAGGCAAGGATGGCAAGGTCATGCAGGTAGATAGAAATAGCACATGCTCACTGTCTCTACAATGACTCAGACCCTGGTCCTTTTGTTTGAACATTTTCATGTGATGCTATGATTTCATTACGCTTACCAAATTCACTTTTAATGTAGGTTTTAAAGCACTGTGAATGGAGCTACTATCAGAGATGTTCTGTAACGTAGAAACCTTGTAAGAGGCTTTGCTACTATATTCTTCTATTTAGAAACATATATTTCAGTTGGAGTATGGCCCTGCAACAGACTAGCATCCTGCCCAGGGGGTTTACTCAGGGGCGCAACTTTGGTTTTAGTCGGATAAACACTCCAAACAGCCTACCCGACCGCTCGGAGGTGTCCACATGGTCCTAAAGCACACCGTTGCCTCGTTTCCTATCACATTCCAATAATAAAACTGGGGGGGACAAAAATACAATTTCAGACTGTGGAGGGGACATGTGTCCCCCGTCCCCAGTGAAAGTTGCGTCCCCTTGTACATCTAGCTGCCTCATGCTTACTGCTTACTTATGTTTCGGTCTGTTAGTCTTCACTGTCGTGGCTCAGTGCTCATGGTTATTGTCTGTGTCCCAGGCCCCTATCAACGGCTGTCGCTGTGAGCCTCTGATCAACAAGCTGGAGAACCAGCTGGAGGCCACCAAGGAGGAGATGAAGACAGAGATCCACACAGTGCAGGACCTGATGAACAACAAGATGGGAGAGCTGGACCGCAAGAACAAACATCAGGTACAGACCAGACCAGGGTTGTGTTCATTAGGGAAGGCAACATAAAATGTTTTGCAACAAAAAAACTAAAAGGAGCGTTTCTTATTGGACCAGTCCAGGTAGATCAGTCCCAGTTTCAGTCCTTTCTCTACCGTTTGGTGCCTAATGAACACTACCTACATCACACCAGTCTCTTAAGTCACAGCAGTGCCGGTGGATGTGGGGCGGGAAATCCATGCATGTATAATTTGTGCTGATTTTGCATAGCCTATTAATGAAATGAAGTGTAATGTTGCTAAAGTCAAAAACAGCTCTGAGCTTTTGTGTCACAACCGGCGTCTTGCATTAATCATGACAGCTCTGTCAGGCTCAGGCATTTAACTCTGTGGTTTGTGATTGTGTGGTTCTAGATCCGTGCTCTGGATAAGATGACAGTAGAGAGGGTGTCAGCGGAGAGGACAGAGTGCCAACACAGGATCGACCAGAGGGCCATGCAGGAGAGACAGGAGGGGGAGAAGAGACAGGTAATACTAACAGCAGTGTCAACACAGGATCAACCAGAGGGCCATGCAGGAGAGACAGGAGGGGGAGAAGAGACAGGTAATACTAACAGCAGTGTCAACACAGGATCAACCAGAGGGCCATGCAGGAGAGACAGGAGGGGGAGAAGAGACAGGTAATACTAACAGCAGTGTCAACACAGGATCAACCAGAGGGCCATGCAGGAGAGACAGGAGGGGGAGAAGAGACAGGTAATACTAACAGCAGTGTCAACACAGGATCGACCAGAGGGCCATGCAGGAGAGACAGGAGGGGGAGAAGAGACAGGTAATACTAACAGCAGTGTCAACACAGGATCAACCAGAGGGCCATGCAGGAGAGACAGGAGGGGGAGAAGAGACAGGTAATACTAACAGCAGTGTCAACACAGGATCGACCAGAGGGCCATGCAGGAGAGACAGGAGGGGGAGAAGAGACAGGTAATACTAACAGCAGTGTCAACACAGGATCAACCAGAGGGCCATGCAGGAGAGACAGGAGGGGGAGAAGAGACAGGTAATACTAACAGCAGTGTCAACACAGGATCGACCAGAGGGCCATGCAGGAGAGGCAGGAGGGGGAGAAGAGACAGGTAATACTAACAGCAGTGTCAACACAACAAGAGAGGGTGGTCTATGCCATATCACTTTTTCATTCGAAGTTCAGCTCAGACATTTCAACAATGCATTAACATAAATACTATTTTCCCCTAATGTTTCCCGTCACTAAACCCCTTATTGTCTTGGTCTGCCCTTCAAGCAGGCATCAGTGGTGAACGAGCTGAAGAACTGGTGCATGGCCAAGCTCCAGAACATTGAGGTGCGCTTCGCCGGAGACCCCCGCAACGCCAAGCTGTGCCGGTCCTCGTCCATGGCTGAGGGCCTGTGTGAGGTGGACCCTGGGGGCCTCACCGTGCTGGCTGCTGGGGGGCCTGGGGGCAGCTCCCAGTGTCTGGCCCCCCACACCACTGACCTCACCGAGGGAGACCACAACACCACCGCCACAGAGGACCCCTCAGTCAACCACTACTTTGCTGTTCAGGTGGACAGCTCTCCGGGTACGGTTAAAACAGAACTCAGTGAACTAGCCAGCACTCTGAATTACTATGCTTATGCACATGCACATACACAAAGAGTGGGAACTAATTTCACGCAGATACAGGCTTGTGTAAGCGTTACATAATCTACGTTTATTACGTTTATTTTTCTTAGGTCAAACCCTTTTTTTTAAAGTAAAGCGTGAATGTGGCCCAAATATAACATTTTCACAGAAATGCTAAAATTATTGTTGCCTGTGGCAGGTTAATTAATATATCATCCCAAGCTATCAGATTGCATATCTCACTGGAACTAATTTGAATAATCATAAATTATTTGCTCTAAGGTTTACTTTTTAATTGAAATTCATTCAATAATTGCCTCTTGGAAACCTTCCAGACAGTGATAAACATCACAAGCGAGCGGAGATCTCCTCCCCAACTCCCGCCAAGTTCCTGTCACCGTCTCCCCAAGTGGTGCGACCCAAGGAGCGCTTGCTGGGCGCTACTGAAACTCGGAGGCCGTATCAGGACATGGCGCTACTGGAGTTGGGAGTGAGCAGCAGAGGCAACAACAACCGGGCCAGCAGTCTGTCCCCAGCTACAGAGCGCCGCTGCAGCAGCAGACAGGACAAGGACCGCGACAGGGAGAGGGATAGAGACCGGGAGCGGGGCAGGGACAAGGGCAAGCACCACAAGAGGCACTCCCAGGGCAGGACTAAGGCCAAAGGGGACAAGAGGGCCACGGTGGGACAGGCCGAGGGGACTCAGACTCTGGAGGTGTTTGAGGAGAGAGCCGTGGAGAGAGGCGGAGGGGAGAGCTCCTTTGCCCAGGAAAGGGAGAACATGCACGCCCTGGAGGTGACACAGTACTTCTTCGAGGCGGTGTCGACCCAGATGGAACGCTGGTATGAGAGGAAGATCCAGGAGGCCAGGTGGCAGGCGGACCAGAGGGCCCAGGCAGACAGGGCTGCCCTGCTGGAGAGGATCACCTACCTGGAGGACGAGCTACTCATGCTCAGGACTAACAGGCACGACGACAGCTAACACAGACATACCACTGCAGAGTTTAGAGCAGTGGAGGCTGCTGAGGGGAGGACGGCTCATAATAATGGCTGGAACGGAGCAAATGGAATGGCATCAAACACATGGAAACCATGTGCTTGATGTATTTGATACCATTCCACTATTCCACTCCATTACCACGAGCCCTTCCTCCCCAATTAAGGTGCCACCAATCTCCTGTGGTTCAGAACAGAACAGCAAAAACCATCTAAGGTCATTACAGATGGCTACCTGGATCCAGTGGACCCACTAGTAGACTTGTCCATAAATTGACCATACATTTGTCATTGACCATGCACCTTCTCCACAGAATTTCATATTTATAGCTAATAATGTCATGCAACAGTAGAAAATAATCAAATTGTAATGGTAAAGACACATGTTATGGCATGCCAGACAATTCAGTATAATGTTGTCTTGTTAATAATGTGTTTTGTTGTATACACCTGGGCAGCTCCTGTGTGTTGTGCTTTGTAAAACCCCCAGTAAATGTACTGTTAGTTTGTTACAATGGGTCTGTCATGGTGCCATTATTGAACACCCACATACATTGGCACATTGTTACCTTGTCCTAAAGTCAACATGCCAATACTCCAGTGCTCTTTATCCTGTGACGCGAAAGTCTGTTATGAGAATGATTCTAGGGGTTTGCTTGTGGAAAATGTGGGTCATTTTTTGTGACATTGAAAAAAATTTATTCAATGAGAGAGTAGAGAAAAACGAGAACAGACAGCTTCAGAAATAGTTTTGAGTTAGCCAGGATGCTTAAAATATCAGTAGAATATACTACTGCAAGCTTTCATATGTGACTTACAAGGGCAACAGAACTCACAAGAATACAGCCAAACTGACAATGTCTTAACTGAAGAAAACTTGAGCTTTCATAACTTTAGTACTCTGCACTTTTGCTCCAACCCACTATTTCTTTGATGGTAAAAAGTCCATAACACCCTAATGCTTATCCTTAGCACTAAAATGATTTACTGTTAGGAAGACCAGTCTGAAATAGACCTGTGCATACTGTAAATTAGTTACCGTGCTCATATGTAACACTTGTTCTGTGAGGTCGTTGTACATTGATTTCTCTGCTGATATGAACATACATTCTGTCTAGTGAAGTCAGATGTCAAATGTATTTTGTAAAAAACTAAAGAAAAACTACAAAAATGGCATGTCTGTTCTATATTCAAGAGGTAGTGTAGTGAACACAATTGATGGTTATCCGTTCTACATGCAAAGAGCTACACAGGAGCAACCCAACATGAGCCCTGGTATACTAGTTATAACAAATAAATAAATCCTTACAGATGGTATTTATTACAGATGGTATTTATTACAGATGGTATTTCACATTATTGCACATTATTGCAAAATACATGATTCTCACAGCTTTGCTCAAAAGTGAACCAGACTCAGCGATCTGAAAGCGTCACCACTGCTAAACATGGACATTTTGATGGCAACCAAACTGATAGGGGACTCCCCATGACAGATCTCATATGGTTGTGTCCACTCCAAACAACATTCTGTATCAGACACTAGCAGTGTCAGGGATTCAATGAGAAGAAAGTAGACGAGCTGGTCCGGCTAACATTTCTTCCATGGTAAGTGTGACAAGGTCCTGATTCATATGGCTTTCATGCCACACATACACAGTCCATTTGAGTTATCTAACTCCGGCAGTGTCCTAATAATGGACACTGCCGGAGTTATACCTTAGCTACATTTGAGGCAGAATAGCAAAGTTGCTGGAATCACTTCCAGCATGAACAGGTGGATTACCTCAGTCCCACAGTTCCAGACATGTGTTAGTGTATTTTGAATTGACGCAGCATTGCTAAGAGCTCTATGTAGGCCTAAGACTTAACGTTAAATGTCGTCCTTATTTCTTAACATATGCCAATGCCTGTAGCTCATCATGGTGCATGTTTGCCTATGTGATCATCCTAGGGATATGGAGAGACAATGGTTATAAAAGGGATACAACACAAAATACAGTACCAGTCAAAAGTTTGGACACACCTACTCATTCAAGGGTTTTTCTTTATTTTTTTTTCACCTTTATTTAACCAGGTAAGCCAGTTGAGAACAAGTTCTCATTTACAACTGCGACCTGGCCAAGATAAAGCAAAGCAGTGTGATTAAAAACAACAACACAGAGTTACATATGGGGTAAAACAAAACATAAAGTCAAAAAATACAACAGAAAATATATATACAGTGTGTGCAAATGTAGCAAGTTATGGAGGTAAGGCAATAAATAGGCTATAGTGCAAAATAATTACAATTAGTATTAACACTGGAATGATAGATGTGCAAGAGATTATGTGCAAATAGAGATACTGGTGTGCAAATGAGCAAAATAAATAACAATATAGGGATGAGGTAGTTGGGTGGGCTAATTTCAGATGGGCTGTGTACAGGTGCAGTGATCGGTAAGGTGCTCTGACAACTGACGCTTAAAATTAGTGAGGGAGATAAGAGTCTCCAGCTTCAGAGATTTTTGCAATTCGTTCCAGTCATTGGCAGCAGAGAACTGGAAGGAATGGCGGCCAAAGGAGGTGTTGGCTTTGGGGATGACCAGTGAGATATACCTGCTGGAGCGCATACTACGGGTGGGTGTTGCTATGGTGACCAATGAGCTAAGATAAGGCAGGGATTTGCCTAGCAGTGATTTATAGATGGCCTGGAGCAAGTGGGTTTGACGACGAACATGTAATGAGGACCAGCCAACAAGAGCGTACAGGTCACAGTGGTGGGTAGTGTATGGGGCTTTGGAGACAAAACGGATGGCACTGTGATAGACTACATCCAATTTGCTGAGTAGAGTGTTGGAGGCTATTTTGTAAATGACATCGCCGAAGTCAAGGATCGGTAGGATAGTCAGTTTTACGAGGGCATGTTTGGCAGCATGAGTGAAGGAGGCTTTGTTGTGAAATAGGAAGCCGATTCTGGATTTAACTTTGGATTGGAGATTCTTAATGTGAGTCTGGAAGGAGAGTTTACAGTCTAACCAGACACCTAGGTATTTGTAGTTGTCCACATACTCTAGGTCAGACCCGTCGAGAGTAGTGATTCTAGTCGGGTGGGCGGGTGCCAGCAGCGTTCGATTGAAGAGCATGCATTTAGTTTTACTAGTGTTTAAGAGCAGTTGGAGGCTACTGAAGGAGTGTTGTATGGCATTGAAGCTCGTTTGGAGGTTTGTTAACACAGTGTCCAATGAAGGGCCAGATGTATACAAAATGGTGTCGTCTGCGTAGAGGTGGATTTGAGAGTCACCAGCAGCAAGAGCGACATCATTGATATACACGGAGAAAAGAGTCGGCCCAAGAATTGAACCCTGTGGCATCCCCATAGAGACTGCCAGAGGTCCAGACAACAGGCCCTCCGATTTGACACATTGAACTCTAATATGGAACATATGGAATCATGTAGTAACCAAAAAAGTGTTAAACAAATCAAAATATATTTTATATTTGAGATTCTTCAAAGTAGCCACCCTTTGCCTTGATGACAGCTTTGCACACTCTTGGCATTCTCTCAACCTGCTTCATGAAGTAGTCACCTGGAATGCATTTCAATTAACAGGTGTGCCTTGTTAAAAGTTAATTTGCGGAATATCTTTCCTTAATGCATTTGAGCCAATCAGTTGTGTAGTGACAAGGTAGGGGTGGTATACAGAAGATAGCCCTATTTGGCAAAAGACCAAGTCCAGATTATGCCAAGAACTGCTCATATAAGCGAAGAGAAACGACAGTCCATCATTATTTTAAGACATGAAGGTCAGTCAATACGGAAAATGTCAAGAACTTTGAATGTTTCTTCAAGTGCAGTCGCAAAAACCATCAAGCGCTATGATGAAACTGGCTCTCATGAGGACCGCCACAGGAAAGGAAGACCCAGAGTTACCTCTGCTGCAGAGGATAAGTTCATTAGAGTTAACTGCACCTCAGATTGCAGCCCAAATAAATGCTTCATAGAGTTCAAGTAACAGACACATCTCAACATCAACTGTTCAGAGGAGGACTGCGTGAATCAGGCCTTCATGGTCGATTTGCTGCAAAGAAACCACTACTAAAGGACACCAATAAGAAGAAGAGACTTGCTTGGGCCAAGAAACACGAGCAATGGACATTAGACCGGTGGAAATCTGTCCTTTGGTCTGATGAGTCCAAATTTGAGATTTTTGGTTCCAACCGCCGTTTCTTTGTGAGACGCAGAGTAGGTGAACGGGTGATCTCTGCATGTGTGGTTCCCACCATGAAGCATGGAGGAGGAGGTGTGGGGGTGCTTTGCTGGTGACACTGTCAGTGATTTATTTAGAATTCAAGGCACACTTAACCAGCATGGCTACCACAGCATTCTGCAGCGATACCCATCTGGTTTGCACTTTGAGAATCCTTTTTTTTTCAACAGGACAATTACCCAAAACACACCTCCAGGCTGTGTAAGGGCTATTTCACAAGATGGAGAGTGATGGAGTGCTACATCAGATGATCTGGCCTCCACAATCACCCGACCTCAACCCAATTAAGATGGTTTGGGATGAGTTGGACCGCAGAGTGAAGGAAAAGCAGCCAACAAGTGTTCAGCATATGTGGGAACTCCTTCAAGACTGTTGGAAAAGCATTCCTCATGAAGCTGGTTGAGAGAATGCTAAGAGTGTGCAAAGCTGTCATCAAGACAAAGGGTGGCTACTTTGAAGAATCTCAAATATAAAATATATTTTGATTTGTTTAACACTTTTATGGTTACTACATGATTCCATATGTGTTATTTCATAGTTTTGATGTCTTCACTATTATTCTACAATGTAGAAAATAGTAAAAATAAAGAAAAACCATTGAATGAGTAGGTGTGTCAAAACT